CTTTCAGACAGTTATTTGTTGAATGGCAGCAGTGTGCTCAGCACTCTATAAAACAGTAAAACCTAGACCAGGGGTCAGCAACCTTCGGCACGCAGCCCATCAGGGTAATCCTCTGTTGGGCCATGAGACATTTTGTTTACGTTGACCGTCCACAGGCATAGCCCCTCGCAGATCCCAGTGGCCACGGTTTGCCGTTCTTGGACAATGGGAGCTTCGGGAAGTGGTGTGGGCCACAGGGACATGCTGGCTGCCGCTTCCCCATTGGCCGGGAACGGCGAATCGTAGCCACTGAGAGCTGCAGGGTGCCATGCCTGCAGATGGTCAATGTAAAGAAAATGTCTCACAGCCCACCAGCGGATTACCCCGATGAGCCGCGGACCGATGGTTGCTGACCCCTGATCTAGACCCGGCTGCAAGTCATCACTTTGCCAAGCTATCCTTTTGCAACTCTTCAATTTTTTGCAACAGATCAGTTTATTCCACACCCCTACATATTTTTGTGAGCATGCTAGATATTTTATGTCCAAATCACAGAAAAAACAATTTGGCTACAATGTTTGCCTTCAGAAAGTATGGGGTGGGGAAAGGGATTGGTTGTTTTTTTAAACTTAGAATGAAGTGTTTTTAAGTGAAAGACTGATGAGAACAGTCTTGACTTTCTTATTCTTGCCATAAGCAGATGCAGGATGAGTCACAGTGAGATACAGGATAACAGTTTGAACTCAAACACTTTGAATGCTTAGTTTTTACTGTGGTCATGAACACATGATAAACTTCCCACTCAACATTTTCAAAGTCTTGGCTATTCTCTGGGAAAACTAGTTAAAATAATAAAGGAATAAGACCTACATTATCTTCTAATTACTGTAACTTCAAAAGAGGTTATTTGTTTTTTTGCCAACTATTAAAAGCAAAGTAGGTAATCACTATTAATGAGTATTCCACTACTCTTGTCATTACATAATTATAAGTCTAACTGTTACCACTAGCTGTGTTAATACTGACCACCAGTACATTCACTTAAGTCACTTAACCCTTTCTGTTTTTTTTTTTAAATCTCTTCATTAGAGAAGGAAAAATGGCTCTCACTTTTAATTAAAAGTTCAAAACTAAACTGATCTGAAGGAATCTACACAGAATATATATTAGAAGATTTTTTTTAAAAAGATATCTGTTGCTTTCGCCTTTTGATTTGCTGCTTTGTACATTTTTGGAGGGACATAAGAACAACCATACTGGGTCAAGACCAATGGTCCCTCTAGCCCAGTATCCTGTCTTCTGACAGGGGCCAATGTCAGGTGCCCCAGAGGGAATGAACAGAATAGGGGATCATCAAGTAATCCATCCTTTCACCCATTCCCAGTTTCTGACAACAGAGGCTAGGGACACTTCAAAACATGGTTTTGCATCTCTGTCCATTCTGGCTAATAGCCATTGCTGGACCTATCCTCCATGAACTTATCTAGTTCTTTTTTGAACCCTGTTATAGTCTTAACCTTCACAACATCCTCTGGCAAAGAGTTCCACAGGTTGACTGTATGTTGTGTGAAGAAATACTTCCTTTTGTTTGTTTTAAACCTGCTACCTATTAATTTCATTTGGTGGCCCCTAGTTCTTCTGTTATAAGGAGTAAATAATACTTCCTTATTTACTTTCTCCACACCAATCATGATTTTATAACCTCTATCATATCCCCCCTTTGTCGTCTCTTTTCCAAGCTGAATAGCCTGAGTCTTATTAATCTCTCCTCATATGGAAACTGTTCCATACTCAATCATTTTTGTTGCCCTTTTCCATATCTTTTGCAATTCCAATATATCTTTTTTAAGATGGGGCGACCACATCTGCACACAGTATTCAAAATGTGGGTGTACCATGGATTTATAGAGAGACAATATGATATTTTCTGTTTTATTATCTATCCCTTTCTTAATCATTCCCAACATTCTATTTGCTTTTTTGACTGTTGCTGCACATTGAGTGGATGTTTTCAGAGAACTATCTACAATGACTCCAAGCTCTCTTTCTTGAGTGGTAACAGCTAATTTAGACCCCATCATTTTATAGAGAGAGAGAGAGTTAGGATTATGTTTTCCAATGTGCATTAGTTTGCATTTATCAACACTGAATTTTATCTGCGATTTTCTTGCCCAGTCACCCAGTTTTGTGAAATCCCTTTGTAATTCTTTACAGTCTGCTTTGGACTTGACTATCTGCAAATTTTGCCACCTCCCTGTTTACTCCTTTTTCCAGATCATTTATGAATATGTTGAACAATACTAGTAACAACACAGACCCCGGGAGGACAACTATTTACCTCTCTTCATTCTGAAAACTGACCATTTATTCCTACCCTTTGTTTCCTATCTTTTAACCAGTTACTGATCCAGGAGAGGACCTTCCCTCTTATCCCATGACAGCTTACTTTGCTTAAGAGTCTTTAGTGAGGGATCTTGTAATAATTTAACACAATATTCTCCATTTATAAATGTCCTGTAATAGCTTTATAAATAAAATATTTATAAAGCAGGTCAAGTCTATGGAATTCAGCAATACAGCAATAAGTAAAAAGTCTGCAATGAGGCACTGGTGGAAATGCACTAAACCAATAACACTTCCATGTATCCAAACAATTTTACATATTTATAGACTTACAAAGGGAGCACTCACTATGATTTAATACATTTCTGTTTGTCATCATGATGACAAGACTTGGCAACCAGTCCACAAAATGGAATCTGGTCTACTTTTGAGGACGCTTTACATAGTTCCTCTCAAACAAAGTATGAGCAACCACAGATAGAATTTAGGAGGTACAAAGGGGAAGACAGAAATTTAATTATGTGAAGATGTGGCTGTTCTTACAGACCACAATAGAAAATGGTTAAATTTTAACTAGGAGGTGAAAAAATAAACCAAGACTAGCTTGTCCCTCTCTCCAATTCAGAGGCCCCAGGTTTGATTCATAAATTCCAAGACTGTGGATACACTGGCAAATAAGGACCCACAATCCAATACTGGTAAGGTTCCACCAATGTAGCAAAAATGGAAGCAGAGGTATAGATGGTGGTAAAAATCCCTGAGCCCTTACCACAGTACAGCTTCCACCAAGGCTACCACCAGTGTAGCTGCATCAGTTGTGTATTATGGCCCTAATCACAGAAATGTAGGGCAGGAAAGGACCTCTAGAGGTCATCTAGTCCAGCTCCCTGCACTGATGATGCTAGTTTAGACAAGGCCTTAAAAGCTGAGACTGCATTACCTCTAACAGTAGGGTGTTTGAACGTGGTCAATTTGAACAGCTAACATCTTTTCTAAAATGGCTTTTTCAACAGATATCTTTGTGGAGTTGGAGTGCTCTTTTCCCAACTTGTATAGGAAAAGCCAATATACAGTTTTGTTATAATTTAGTTTACAAAGAGTGAAAAGAATGTATCATTATGATGAAAAAGTTCATAGAAATATTATAAGGACAACATCCTTAACAGGATTTCAAATCACAACTTCTAAAATGTTAAGACACTATCCCTTAAGCAACCTTTTTTAGTTATCCATAGAGATTTACAGGAATTAGTCAGCTACATGCCAGCTATCCTACTATTCCCTGAATACAACAGACAGTTACTCTAGAATAACTTTAGAAGTTGCATGTAAGGGCTATATTCATTACTCAACCTATTCCCTAGCTCATATGCTTATACAGAAAGAGACTATAGATATACTGTATGACTGTTTTTACCACAGTAAGGAAGCAGCAAACTGGTCCTGGCTGATCATGCAATAATGCCATGATTAGACTATGGGGCTTCAGAAACAATCATAAGTTTTGTGGATAAAGCACACAATAAGAAGCCAATAAGAAGCACGTTTAAGTGCAAGGATTAAAAAAACAGAGAAAATTTTGAATTTGCCAAAAATAAATCAGGCATAAGTATTTAAGACCAACGAGCAGTTTGTTGCACTTTCCAACATATGAACAGCATCCAAACAATGCTACTTTGTATTTATCTTTTTAATGTGCTAATTTGTGATAAAAGTGATAATATGATTTTACAATATAGAGATTTGTTCACATGGAAAATTCCGTGTTGAAATCAAAGTTAGAAGAGATTCTGTTTGTGCACATATTAATCATTTATATGATTCAATGATTCTGGAATCATTTTGGCTAGTGAAACAGGCTTAAATATTTCTCGAGAGAGAAAGAGGTAGGTTTACATATCCATGGTTGTAGCAAATTGGAAATTCAGTAGCATTTTAGTCATTTATAGTAAAAATTGACACACACAAACATCATAAAAACAGTGAGTAACATCCTTCATGAAATTAGAATAAATAAAAATAAATTAAAAAAAATAAAAATAAAGAGGACAATGAAAATGTAAAACAAAGCTTCTTGCTTCTGCAGCTTTCACCAAATATGCTACCAACCCCTCCACCCCCACTTCCCATAGATAGTGATTTTTGGTGGGTTGTTTTTGCTGGAGGGAGGGGGTAGACTGTCGTCTTTTTCTGGATCTCAGATGTTAATGTACATTGATACACTGTAGATCCAATACTGCTCTCAGGCCTCCAAGAGGTCTTTGGAACAATGGATGCGCTGAGATTATAACTAGGAGATTTCTGATCCTACTCCTCCCGTCTGCACTCCCATTCTATTTGCTCCACTAAGATTGTTAGTAATTTTAAGATTACTAAAACATGTTTTCTCAAAGAGTTTCTAGACTGCTTATTAAACAGTACAATGAAGGAGACAATACAGGGTACCGGAAAATATGGAAGGAAAATGGTACAAATACAAAATCTACATTGCAACTGGCTGCCATCTGCCCAACAAGACTGATGACAGCATCTCAGTTTGCAATGGTAAAAAATTAGAGATTTTTTGTAAATAGCCTTATAAATGTTTACATAAAAATCTTTAAGAAAATTAAACTCAGAATTAATTCACAACAAATCCCAATATTTTAAATTTTAAATACATTTGTATGAGAAATTACCTCTTCTTTCAGTGCATGTTTCTTCTGCTCCAAACAGATTTCTTTAGCTCTCATCAGCTGCAGAGTCTCCTTAGAAACTGCATACTGCAACTTTTCCATACGTTCTACTGCTGCTGCCCATGCTGCCTTACCAAACCTTTTCTGATCTGCTCGCATTCGATCATACACAGCTGTAAAAGAAAAACAGAGCTCCGTTAATACAGCTAAAATACATAAAAGAAGAACAGGAGGACTTGTGGCACCTTAGAGACTAACAAATTTATTAGAGCATAAGCTTTGTTAGTCTCTAA